GCCTGGAGATAAGGGGGGGATGTAGTTCATTAAGAAACAAACCGAGGCTCCTTCTGTATTGGGGGTTGGGCTCAGGCATCTTGTCTGGGACCTTGACATTGTCAGAGGCACTGTGGCCCTCTGTCCTGTATCAGGGACGGGAAGGTGACGGATGGGGTCCTCAGTGTCCCTGCTCACATCAGCCCAAGGAAGGCTTTTTTGCAAAGCCTACCCCTGCTGACCCCGGGCCTGGAGGGGGCTTTGTTCTCACCCCCACCTTAGTGCTCAAACCTCTGGAACCTGTTGACACACAAATGCCCTGTCAGAGGCAGGGACAGAATCACTGCGTTTGCACAGTGTGGGCTGTACCTTCCCGGGGCTCCATGTCCAGGACAGCCCGCGCTCCCCCTCCAGTCTCTCCCCTATTCCAGTCTCTCCCCTCCCGCTCCAGTCTCTCCCCCTCCCCTCCAGTCTCTCATCCTCCCCCTGCAGTCTCTCCCCCTCCCCCTCCAGTCTCTCATCCTCCCCCTGCAGTCTCTCCCCCTCCCCCTCCAGTCTCTCATTCCCCCCTCCAGTCTCTCATCCTCCTCCTCCAGTCTCTCACCCCTCCCCCTCCCGTCTCTCCCCCTCCCCCTGCAGTCTCTCACCCTCCTCCTCCAGTCTCTCATCCCCACCTCAACACCATCTCCAGCTCCTGCTCAGGACAGCTGACCTGGGTCCTTTCACCCTTTGAAAATGGCCTGACAGATGTGTCCCACTGAGCAGCTTGGTTGGCACCCACCCCATCCTCCACTCAGCAAGTAGCTAGTGAGCGCCTACTGAGTACGGGCATGGGGCCAGGCAAAAGACTCACTGGTGAATACTCACAAGTAAAGTGTCTACACACTTGATTCACACGACAGAAAATAGGCCCAGAGAGGCAGAAAAAAATCCCAGGTAACACAGCAAAGGGAGTGCAGGAAAAAGCAGTTCCACCCCATTCCCCACCCCCCTTTTCCATCCATCCTGCTGACAGCCTGGTCATCCAGTGCTCTCCTAGACCTGATTTGGACATTTTCAGGTGCATGGAGGGTGGGCTCTCCACGGCCGTGGATCTGCATGGGACCTCCCCCACTTGCCTTCCTATGATTTTAGGCAGAAATGCACATCAATTCCTATTTCCTCTTGGCTGAGATCCAGAAACTCTGGGTAAGCAGAGAAGCCACAGTGGAGGAGCAGTGTTGTCCCCTGGCTGTGCACCTTGATTTCACTCCCAGGGAAGGCAGAGAGACGTGTGTAGCCTGCCCCTGACAAATGCGTTGGGACTTGCAACTGTGACCTTTGGAAATAGGGTCTTGCAGATGGAATTATTTAAGATGAGGTCGTTCTAAGTCGGAGTGGGCCCTGATTCAATGACTAGGATCCTTTTAAAAAGAAAAACACAAAGGTTGGGGGGGGATGAGGTGCACACCTGTAATCCCAGAACTCAGGATTCAAGGGCAGGAAGATTGCAAGTTCAAGGCCAGTCTGGGCTATATAGCAAACAGAAGAGAGAGAGAGTGGGAGAGAGAGAGATTGAGGATGGCCTGTGGTTTTCACTGGGGGTTGGGGAAATGCAGTACGGGGATTGAATGCACAGCCTCACCTTCTGGAAGCACTCAGTCACTTGAGCCACACCCCTGGTCCAGCGCGTGGCTTTTTTACTTGGCCTTTTACTTGGCGGAAGCAGAAACTCTGAGCCTGATCACTTCCCAGGATGGAGTTTTCACCACTCCTTAGGAGGAACTGACAGAATTAAACCATGTCGCACACCACGACCTCCTTTATGACTCAGAAATTATCCTCCTGGGTTAGACTTGTTAGTGTCCGTTACAAAGATTTTCAGAAAATATCAACCCATACTCTCAGCATAAGGAAAGGCCATTCAAAGTTCGGGATAAATTTCTTGAGCAAATATAGAAATGACTCCATACTATTTTTAAGTGACAGTAATAGTAAAATTTATTAGGAAAAAAATATACTTTCAGTAGACTGGAAGCAGATAGCCTCGAGAGTGTGAGTGGAAAGACATTTTGGCAGTGCTGGGTTTGCACTCGGGGTATTGCGCTTGCTAGGCATCCTTTTTGGATGCAGTATGTGTAAACAGAAGGCTTTGAAACAGTGTTGAGGTTTGAACTCAGGCCATGCTCACCACTTGAACACTCCCAACCCTTTTTGCTTTACTTATTTTCAGAATATTTTAGATATTTTTTCAGATAGGATCTCAAATGTTTGCCCAGTGCTGTTTCAACCGAGATCCTCTTATCCACACTCCCAGGTACTGGAAGCATAGATATGCATCAGCACACCTGGCTTCTGTGTTGAGATAGGGTCTCACAAACTGTACCACACAGCCAGTCCGCATCGACTCTATGTTCTTCACACAGGTGTAAAATCTTATTCCTATTTTTTGGGACCCTTGGATGGTTTTTGACAACTAAGTTCATGTGTTCTCTGCAAGTATTGTGCGTTTCAAACAAGTCTACCAATAGGTAAGTTGTAAAAATCTGAGACCAATTTTTCAGAAACAACCACAACCTGTCCTTAGTGTGCGAGAGCCTGTCCCAAGGTACTGTGAGACCAAAGGAAGAGGCAGGCAGACCCAGGATGGATCACACAGTGAAATTCCAACTGGGGACTTTTTTGGGGGAGTGGTACTGGGATTGAACTCACGGACTTGAACTTGTATGCCTTGGACCCATGATCTTCCTGCCTCCACCTCCTGAGTAGATGGAGGGTCATCACACCCAGGTGTGTTGAGATAAAGTCCTAGGTTGGGCCTTGAACCTCCCCTGCTGTCTCTGCCTCTCGAGTTATTGGGAACTTTCTGTGGAAAGCATGGTGCTGGGAACCACGCAAGACCATTGGATCCCCTCAATTTGGGTCCAGGCTTATCTTATGATAATCTGGAAGAATAAGGCACAGCCCTGGTGCCAGGGTCCTCACGGTTTGCTGGGAAACTCCCCAGGAAAAACCAGCCTCAGTTTCTCAGGGGTGATCACGGCCGTTTCAAGAAAGATGGCTGAACCAGCAAGACCATTGGATCCCTCAATTTGGGTCAGAAAAGGGTGTATTTATGAGTCAGAACAAAAGTGATTTCATCCTGGCTGAACGGACCAGGCTTATCTTATGATAATCTGGAAGAATAAGGCACAGCCCTGGTGCCAGGGTCCTCACGGTTTGCTGGGAAACTCCCCAGGAAAAACCAGCCTCAGTTTCTCAGGGGTGATCACGGCCGTTTCAAGAAAGATGGCTGCAGTTGTGTCAGGCTGGATCCATACACCAGTCTTAATATTTGGGGGCGCTCACTGGCAATAGGACATTGTAAAACAAAATGATTTATATGCTAAGGTCTTGCCGCTTGTATAAATATTTGCACACAGTGTGTACTTGTGCGTTTCAGCAGTGGGCCAGGGGTCCTGACATTCCTTCCTTTTTCCTATAAATGAAAAAGAGTCACAGTGCGTGACCACTGAGAAATAGATGTGTAAAGTGAGCTTCTGTCAGGGTGATGCAAAGTTAGACACTGAAAATATCGAGTACTTTGAAACAAACTACTTTCTTCGTCTCTCCCTGCAGTTTGGATGCAGTATGTGTTTACAGTAGGCTTTGTGAGCTTTTTTTTTTTTAAATGGTGTTGGAATTTGAACTCAGGGCCTTACCACTTGAGACATACTCCCAGCCCATTTTTGCTTTAGTTATTTTTCAGACAAGGTCTCATATTTTTGCCCAGAGCTGTTTCAACCAAGTTCCTCTTATCTACACCTCCCAGATACTGGGATGATAGGCATGCATCATTATACCTGGCTTCAGTATTGAGATAGGGTCTCGCAAACTTTTTGCCTGGGCCGGCTTCAGATAGTCATCCTCCTATCTATGCCTCCGACGTAGCTGGGATCATAAGCCTGTGCCGCCGTGCCTGGCCAGCATCCATTACTCTTTTCAAAATTAGGATCTGTTCATTGTAGAGGGGCTGCATTGTGACAATTCCAGATGGGCTTGTATTGCACATAGATTAGACCACCCACCATCTCTCCCTCGACCCCTCCCCACCCCACTTACAGCAATCGCAAGAGATTTTTTTGCTCTAGTTCATAGCATATGTGAAGTCCATCCTCCATATTCCCTCCCCTTCATCTCCCTCATTCAGCTCCTCTCCCACTAGCACCCCACACGCTGTACACATTTTACAGTCCTGTCTTTCATTGTGAATATTTAAGTTCATGTTCAAACCCCACTGTGGGTAAACTTTACTTTGGTTTGTTCAACCCCTCCCATTTCTCCCCCTTACCCTTTACCTCCCACCCCCATTTTCGGCAGCGTTCAGTGCACACCCTGTGTCTCTTCCTTCACAGGCATATGTTTTACGACATTACTGACGCTCCAGCCTTCTCTCCTCCTCTCCCTCCTCCCCCGAGGCCCTAGAGCAGCTCCACGTTTACAAATGTGTTCTACATCTGAGCGTGTGTGCGATCACGCTTGTTCTGTGTGTGTGTCTATCTTTGGATCTGTCTTCCATGTAGGAGAAAACATGCAGCCTCGTCTAAGCTCATCTGGTTCAGCCCTCCACCGCTTTGTGCCCCCCTTTGTCTAGAAGCCCATTCGCATCTCACGATGGCTCTCTTGCCTCAGAATATTGTCACCCTGTTGTCTGCCTCTTGGGTTTTATTTGCTTCTGGCTGACACATGGCGTCCAGCTGCTTCTTCCCCACCTGCTCCTGTGTTGTGCCACACCCCCATTTCCCACCATGTTTTCTGCAGTCACTCAACCTCTCTGTGCTCATCTCTGGAACAGCCTTACCTCTTCCTGCAACTTATTTCCTCACAAACGGCTCCATTCTACACCCTCCTTTATTTCCAGCTCTTTCTATTTCATCTCCCCTCTCCATTCTCCTTGGCTTTTGTAAGACTGGACCAGAGGTGGTGATAAAAGTGCCCCAGGATGACTCAAAGAGCAAGTGCACCTTTCGCTGTGTCATCCCTCTCCCGGACCATTTCCAGGGAGGCCTCTCTGGGGTCCACCGTTCCTTTATATCTGAGTTGGGATTCTTTTCCAGGCACCCATGGAAGTTTCCGCATTCTTTCTACTCTTCCTGATGTTCCCCTCAACAGCTTCCCCTCGTGTCTGGCATCCAATTCCAGCTTAGGATCTGCGGCGTCTTCTATTTTTCACACATGAAAAATCATCCAGGATTCTTTTTCAGAGCTAAGACCTTGGTCAAACATGCATAACTGATGCACACAACAGTAATATTTGACAAAGGAAAAAACCACACACGCTTCGTGAAGATTAAAGGACATTTCATCTTTATTGTATTTCCCCAAGGGAAGAGTGGCCCTGTCCTCTTTGAACACACAAAACATGGGCGCTCTTACAAAACACATACCCTTTATAAAATGGCAAACCAACCTGTCAGTGCAAGTCGATGTTCACAGTTCAACAACAAAGGCTAAAACATCAAATAAAAATGTATATTCCCAACAATTTGAGTATTCTTACATAGCTATAATATATAAGTAGAATGGATAAAAAGAACTTATTGTAAGAGTAAAAACATTTATGAATGTGTAAGTTATAATCTGAATAATGAAAATATAAAGAACAGCATGTTTTCAAATCTACAACCATCTCAAAACATTGCAAATAAATATAGTAAACATTTTATGACCAACTTATTCAAAATAATTCAATATAACTTATAATTTATATTAACTATATTTACACTAACTCTATTATGATCCCACGTGTCTAAGTTTACATATTAAAAAGTCATCAAATCTGGCAAACCAAATATACGTGAGCAAATGACCGCAACGTGAATTTTGGTGAGACTACAGGTGCCTCAGGAAAGAAGGGACCCAGCAAGGCCTGATTTCCCTTCATTCCTTCATGGACTCCCAGGTGTGCCCCCAACACCGAGGAGTGGGGTAGTTTTATTAGGCTTGTTCTGGAAGAATCTGGGTTCTTCTAGGTTTGGGAAACTCCTCGCTCTTCCTTGCTCCAGCTGGCTTCAGTGTTGGTTTAGACTTCCTGATGAACATTCCCATCTCCCTGGGCACAGCGATCTGGAAGGCAGAGAGAAATGATGTCAGAGGCAATGCTCCAGGAGGAAGGTGATCGACAGGCTAAGTCAGTCCCAACAAGGGTTTGGAACCACTTACAGATCCTAATTCACCTCTAGCCCTTCATCCAGTCTTGGGGATTGAAAGCAGGCTTCGTGCTTGCCAGGGAGGTACTCTATCCCTTGAGCTATGACTCCAGCCCTTTATTTTATTGCTTTAAGCTAGGTTCTCCTTAGCTTTGCCTAAGCTGGCCTCCGACTCCTGACGTCCTGTCTCTATCTCCCAGTTAGCTGGATTACAGGTATACACAACCATGCCCAGCTCTGAAGCATCACCAAGAATTGTGATGACTCTTGGGCTTTTCTTTCCATGACTCCAACAATCACTTAAGCCCTGAGGTCAGGCCCAACAGTCTTCTGTAGAGCAGAACATGAGGTGATTCTGCTCAAGGAAGGAAGAAAAAAGCGATGTCAGACACAGTTCCCTAGGTGTGAACTCACAATGCGACTGTGGACTAAACTCAGACCGTGGTCCTCTCCACTTACTGAAAATGTGAACCTCTAACCGTGCGACAGCATTCCTGACGTCAGGATGTCATGAACCAGGACACCAGAACCCGAATCCCAAACCAAACTCCCGATGTTTCATCCTCGCGTGAACTGGGCTAGCTGTGCTCTACAAAAATCAAACCTTTGCTCAATGCTCTGCTCACATCCATCACTGTTAAGGTGTGGCTTGTGTGCAGCCACCGCAAGCTGCGCACAGTTCCGACCAACGTTCTTGACCATAAACTTGAGGGGAAAGGGAGAAGAGGGGAACTTGGTCCAACAGTGGTAGGGTAAGGAGAACAAGAAATTTCAAAGAGAATTCTGGCCATAGGAAATTTGTTTCAAGTCAAATTAGGACTAAACTAGTTAGTGGCCATCTGTCATTGATAATATTCAGACCTCCCACATTTCTTCTTCCTTCCTTCCTTCCGTCCTTCTTTCTCCCTCCCTCCCTCTGTCCTCCCCTTCCTTCCTCCCATTCCTTCCTTCCTCCTTCCCTCTTCCTTCCTTCCTTCCTTCCTTCCTCCATTCTCCATTCTTCCTTCCTTCCTTCCCTCCTTCCTCCATCTCCATTCTTCCTTCCTTCCTTCCTTCTCCTTCCTTCCTCCTTCCTTCCTTCCTCCTTCCCTCCTTCCCTTTCTTTCTTTTTTTTTTATGGCACTTGGGTTTGAAGTCAGGGCCTTGACTTGCTGGACAGGTGCTCTACTACTTGAGCCATGGCTGCAGTCCTATTTTGCTTTAGTTATTTTCCTATGGGGTCTTGTTTTGTACCCATGCCTGCCTAGATCCTGACCCTCCTATTTTTACTTCCCACATCACTGTGTTATCAGTGAGTCCCCAGAGTTGGTACCGCATGGGACCCTAGGTCAAGACTGAATTAAGAAGTGACGGCAAAAGCTCGGATGATGGGCATATGGAGGTCACAGCTAGCGGATACTCACGGCTGACAGAAATCAGCACTTGCTCACAGCTGCCATTCAGACCCAGTGGCTTTGGGTTAAAGGATTTCTACCTCATCCGAGCCCTAGCGACACTTGGGTGTCTCTGAGGCCTGGCTGTATGGCCGGCCCCTGGCCCCCAGCACGTCTCTCAGGGTCACTTCTCTCTGGTTGTCATTTCTATGGCTGTGCAGTGACCGGGAGTGTCTTACAGCCTGGGATGGTTGGGCTGCTTCATGGTGTGGCACCAGGTGTGGCATGGAGTGGTCAGGCAAGGGGGTTTCAGGATTTCCTAAGCAGACATCAAATCGCCCTGGGCACACTACAAGGACACAGACACACCTTTACTGAAGCCGATGATGGAACAGAGCTCTAAGGCAGGTGGGTGCGGTCTCGCCCCCACACCCAGAGGTCCGGGTTATAGGCCTGGATCTGGAAAGAAAAACAGCTTCATGAACAGTGCTGCTCCCCAGGGAGACCTCTCCCCATGTCCGGCCTCCACTTCTTTCTAGTTCCCAAACCCATTCCTTCCTTCGCTCTCCAATCCAGAGCCTTCCCCCAAGTCCTTCGCAGCCCGGACCCTCACCTCTTCACACTCCTCTCGGACACCCGCATCCTCCAGCCCATGGATCGCATCATCTGGTACCGTAACTTGTGGAACAGAGGGTGCTGGAAGTAGTTCTTTCCGTAAAGAAAGTAAAATATGTCTTGCTTAGGAGCCTGGTTGTCCTCTTCCATGTCATTGGCCAGATATCTGGGGAAAGAAATCAGAGCCCTCGTCAGGGACAGCCAGGGAGCACCTGCACCTGCAGTCAAGTGCCAGGAAGAAGAGCAGGCTGACCCTCTCAGCCCAGGGACACATCACCCCTGCTCTGTACAAAGAGGACTGTAGAGCCCACTGTGGGACAGAGGTCTCCCAAGGGGCCTCTCACACTGTGATGATGGAGAAAAGCCCATCTGGAGATCCTGAGGCTGTCCCCTGCCACTATCATGCCCTGCAGCTGGCATCATGGCTCCCCATCTCCCTCCTCACTCCCTTTGCTCTACTTGGGCTGTGTGCACACCTGTGTCCCCACTACAGAGTAATGACCCATGGGTATGGCCTAACCCTGTCCATTTCTCCATTTATCCCTGCCCAATCAAGTGGTTGATGGAGAATTTGGCTCATGAGATGTGTTAATTCCACCACCTTTTCTCAGACCTCTCTTTCCATCCACCCATGTGCCCTGGTGCAGAGGTTGCGGGTCCAAAGGTTTTCTTGAATGAACGAATGAATGAGTGAACAAGTGAGTGAATGATTGAAGGGAAGATTCAAGCCAAATGCCATTACTGATTACTTCATTGATACAACACAACAATAAAAACACTTTTAAAATGAACAGAACTTAGCTGAGTGCTTCACGAATGGTGACAATTTGATTAGACCCTGCCTTCAACAGGTGTCTAATGGGACAAGAATCCTGGATATCCGATTACAATGAGACTTCACCGAAGTTTTGCTGGGTGGCAGAAGCTGGCATATCGGAACACAAAGGTTTTGTGCTTGGTTTGATTTGGTTGGGTTTGGTTTTTGAGATGGGTGCTATGTTGCCCGTGCTGGACTCAAAGTCCTTATAACCTGCTACCTCCACCTCCTGAGTGGCCGGGATTACAAGTGGGTCCCACAATGCCCAGCTAGGTTTGGGTGTGTAAACTGACCTTCAGGGTAGGTCATTGTTTCCATGTGTGAAGACAGATGCACAAAACACACAAACTACAACTAGAAGGAAGGAGCCATGAAAGAAACGAAGGATATATCACGATGGTGGGTGAGTTTGGTTGTAGAGATTTGACAGCAGGTTGAGCTCCCATGGAGCATCCAGCCTGGGTCTAGAAAAAATTAGCAGTGCAGGCCTGGGAGAGGTTGACCTGTGTTTAAAAAGACGTTCAGACCACCCACACAAAGCCCGCTGGCCCAGTGAGAGGTTGGTTAATTAACAGAAGCAGGGAACATTTCATTGTAGACTTGTGCCAGGTAAGGAGGCCTGAGCTGGGCACCTGACATGGGAATGCAGAAGAGGGAGATAGATGACTGTTGGGATCCCAGAAGGACAGTCACAGAAAAGTCAGAAAGGGCTGTACTTTGGATCTGTTTGCTTGGGGGCCAGGTCTGTCCCTTCTTCTTCCTCTCTTCGATGTTTCCTTTCATTGTGTTCAGTTTTTTTTACTTGATATTAGGGTTGTTTTTTTATTTAAAAAAAATCAGTACAACACTATAGTTAAAGTTGCCCTTTTTGTATACAGAGCAAAGAGTGTCTTCACACTTCATAAGCAAAAGGTCACATTCCCATTTTCCCCCCGCTCCTTCACAGGGCAGTGAATATTGACTGACAGAAGGAAGCAAATACTCACAGAGCCAGGAAGAAGTGAATTCGCTGGAACTGCCAGGAGAAGAGGCCAGCACGGCTGAAGTAAGCTACCACCATAGCCAGGAGGTACTGACAGAGAGAGAGGAAAATGGTAACGGAGAAGTCACACTCCAGAGAGGAGGGACATGGGGACAGAGGAAAGGGAGGCTAGGGTTAGGGCGTCACTCAGAAGAGAGACCCCAGTGCTGGGTGACGTGTTTATGGGGAAGGGGGAAGGACTGGAAGGTCATTGCAGGTCAGAGAGTCCAGAAGAGGGAAGGTCACACAACTCCACGATGGCCTCTACTGAGGTGCTTTTGGGGGAGCATTAGGCCAGCTGGAGAGTCTTTGGTCAGCTGAAACAAAGGGTCCCAGATTGATGAGAGGAGAGAGAGAATGGCCAGAAATTGCAAGGGTTTCAGCCAAAGTAGTCATTTCCAGGGCAAGATGTTGGCCTAGGGCTCAGACTCCAAAGGACCTCACTCTGTGAGGAACCACCAGGCTCCAGGGGAAAGGCAGACGGTTCATCAGGGTGTCATGTGGGGCCATAAGGGGACAGAGGACTGTGGGTTAGAGGGGCTCCTCCCCAGGCTGGGCAACAGCAGGGGCCCAGATCAGCGGATGACACCCTCACCTTGTCGGACACCCTCAGATTCTTGTCCCAGGCCAGGAACCTTTTCACTACAGGATCCTCTGTGAACAGAGCACACATGTGAGGGTGGGAACCAGAAGAGGGGTGCCATGGGTCAGAGAGCAGGTAGTTCCTACTCTCCTTTAGAAGGTTCAGGACTGTGGCCAAGGTTAAGTGCAAGGGAAGAGGAGAGAGAGAAAAGATCCCCTAGCAAGGGACAGTGGCCCATCAGCGTCTCCCCAGAAGAGCTATGGAGGGAGAGTGAACATCTGGATACTGGCTGAACATCTGCAGGATTCAGGGTCTTTGACCCAACTGCGAGAACCTGTCATCATACCTGAAAGCACCACTGCAGAAGGTAATTTTTGCCATTTAATGTCACATCAGGGTGTTAACTTGGCCCTGTTGCCCCCTAGAGGGACAAAGACACTCAAGTTCAGCAAAGTCAGCAAGAGCTAGGTTTCAGAGGATCGGTGCTGACCAAGCTTCCTTAACCCTAAGGTGGACCTTTCTCAAGTCTAGCACGGACACTGGGGCCCCCTGAGGAGCAGTGGGATCCAAGTCCTCCGAGGACAGGGAGCTCAGGCTGCCAGGGCAACTTTCCCACTGGAACTGTGACGTGATTGGAAGAGCCCTTTTTCCTAAGAGGGGGACTGGAGGGTGCTGGCCGGGGTCTGCGTCCCTACCGAGCAGCCTGGCGAACACCTCGTGGTGCTCAGGGAGCACAGACGACACGCGTCGCCTCTTGAACTTCATCCTCAGCCCAGACAGCATCTCCACCTCCCAGACCTCCTCCTCCTGGGGGGCTGGCTTCTCAAACAGCTCCTCCTCTAGCTCCTCCTCGGAATCTGATGACCAGTCCCTGTTCCTCTTCCGGCAGGGAGGCTGAGGCCGGAGGTTACGCTCCTCCCACGGGGCTGAGTAAAGAAACCCAACTCCAGTGTAACTTTGCTGTCTTGGCAGCTCTGCCTTTAGTTATCTAAGCCCAGCTCCAGCCGCCCCCCCAAAAAAAGGAACCCCAAGCCACAAATCCCTTCAACTGTTGGCAAGTCATTGTTCTATCTGAGCTGGTCCCTGTGTCCCTCACCTTGCCAGCACCCCCTCTCCCTGTTCCTCAAAACTGTTCTTCATTACAGACATGTTCTCCACTGGGGGAAAAAGGGAGATCTCTACTGGAGTCCCCCCGCCCCTTCCCTGTCCTTGGAACTCATTTCCACCTCCTGTCCTCCCTCCTCCAATCACTGGCATCCTGGGTCCCTCCTTCCTCACTTACAAGTCACCTCTAGAATCACCCCAGTTCTCACCTGATGGACCGGGAACTTCCTCATCCACCACCCCCTCTAGGTTGTATCCTGAGCTGCTAGGCTGGGGACTCTCAGACTGTGAAGATGGCTGTTGATCAGCCATGGTTCTCCCAAACTTTTTCCTCCTTTCACAAAACCTAGACTCTGAGTCGTCTGCCTTCTTCTACACTCTGGCTGAACTTGGTCCTTCAACACACGCCCGTTGTCCCTTCTCTAGACCGAGGAGAAGTCAAAGTGGAGGGAGCTCTGAGAAGATACAGTTGTCAACTGTGATTGCCAAGCAGTGAGTTTGTCCCTTCCAATCAGGAAGAGTGGAAGCCTCTGATGTCATCACCGTTCCAGCCTGGCGACCCGTTCGAAGGGAAACACTTGTAACTGCCGGGTGGTGTCTAGACTGGTGAATGAACCTGAGTGTTCAAGGCAGAATCTGACCTTTCCCACGATGGTGGGGAGAGCATAGGTGTGATGCAGAAAAGACCACAACTCTCTCAATGCCTGATAGAATCAGGGGCTGCTCTGAACCTCCTAACTCTTGCCCCTGGTTTCCACTGGGGCATCTGAGTTTTTCTTCTTCCTTCTTTGAAAAAAATCATGGTAAAAGAAAGCTAGATGCTTGGCACACACCTATAGTCTCGGCACTAGGGAAGCTGAGGCAGGAGGATCTCTTGGAGTCATGATTAATGACCAGCCTGGGCAACATAGTGACGCTTTAATCTCAAAAAAAGCATGGTAAAATATACATAATTTAAAATTTACCAGTTCAACCATGTTGAAGTGTAAAATACAGTGGTATCCCTCATGTTCACATTGTAGTACAACCATCACCACCATCCATCACCAGAGTCTTTCTGATATCCCAAACAGAAACTGTCCCCATTAACACCAGGTCTACTTCCTGTCTGTGCGAATCTGATGACTCTAGGCACTCAGTATAGCTCACCCACTATGGGATCAGGTACTATTCTTTCTTTGCTGTTTCTCATATTTCACTAACATGATATCTTCAAGGGTCTATGTTATTGTAGAATGGGTCCAATGTCCCTCTTCTGATGGCAGAAAATAGTCCATTGTAAGGACGGATCAGATTTAATTGATCCATTTCTGTGTCATCGGACATTTGGGTCACTCTTACATTTGGGCTCTCAGTGTTGCTTTTGATCCATTGTTGGAGCTTTTTGGCAAGAACCATGTCCGTTAATTTTGTATTTTGGTCTCCTACATATTTTCAGACAACTCACATCAAGCATCGGTAAAGTCAAATTGCTTGTCAAAGTGAGCATCTCCTGTGTTTGCAGTCATGGATGCTCAGAGTTGAATGAGGGGTCAGGGGTTATTCACACACCTGTGAGTCTCTCTGTAGTGTCCTCACAGGCTGGGATCCCCTCAGAGATGTGATCTTGCTGATGGGACAGGCATTGCTGTGTCAGGGAACAAGGCCCATCAGGAAGAGTCCAATGGCCAGGAAGCTCTGCTGATGTTGAGTTCCAGTTTCCAAGGCTGCTTGGATCTTTCCCCAGCAAAACAGAAGCTCACACACTCTGGTAACAGGTTTTCAAGTAGAAACATGTGCTATATGACAGTTCAGTCAATGATGGACCACAGCAACAATGGTAGCACCACACATATCGCTTAGTGACGCCTCAGTCGGTGTAAGCCCACCTACATTCTTCCCATGGTGAAACTGCTTACCTGTGCATTCCTCAAAAATTGAAACCTGTCCATATTAGATTAATATTTTCTCCCCACTAAAATTTCTCTTCTGTACCATGAGAAGCCATGATTGTTTTGGTCACAATTCAAGTCTTAATTTGCATATTCCTCTCTCTCCTGGCTATTTGTCTAGACATGTTACAAGTAAGCAGTCCCCATCTTAAAATATGTTTGTATGATGTCCATGAATGGGCCAGCTAGCCCAGATTTTGTCTCATGTTTACTAACACCTCTCTACTTCTTTTTCCCTCCTACTGATGCAATTTAAAGTGACAATGGCTATAGTGCACTGTAGAATATCAGAGAGAAGCAGAAATGCTTCAAAAGTACTAGCCTTTCAGCATACGGATCCAATGGGGAGACATTAAAACACAGGTGCTCAGGCCCTGACTTCCTCAATTCTAATGAAACTTTCTCTGATTTAACTGTTCCCCTGCTGTTCATTCACAGTTGGAAATCTGTAGATGAAGAATGCAACAGGTCCCCTAAGAAAGCAAAGTCAGCCAGGCATCAGTGGCTCACGCCTGTAATCTGAGCTACTTGGGAGGATGAGATGCGTGTAGTGGTACATATATGTCTTCCCAGCTATGGTTGAAAGCATGAAATAAGGGGGTCATGGTCCAGGCAGTCCTGGGCAAAAAGAAAACTCTATCTCCAAACTAACCAGAGCAAAAAAGGGCTTAGAGGCATGGCTCAAGTGGTAGAGTGCCTGCTTGGCAAGTGCAAAGTCCTGAGTTGAAACCCAAGGAGGGAAGGGACGAAGGGAGGGAGGGAAAAAAGAGGGAAGGAAGGAAGGAAAAGAAAGAATTTTTTGAGGGAGATGAAGTATGATGGGGCTCCAACATGGCAGGGCAGAGGATGGTCTTGAGTCCTTGGCTGAGGGGACATTCTGAGCTAGTCTCCATTGCTTCTGGACAGTGACAGTCCATCCCACAGCCCTGGGGCCCAGGTAAATGCAGAGACCTGGCATGAAGCTCCACCCACAGCATTGTGCACCCCCTGCTGGGTCCATTCCTCTGATCTTCCCTTTGTCTTCTGGTGAGTGATGGTCTTTGACCCTTGAAGACAACTTCGCTTTCTGTGACCCCTAAATCCTAGCAAGATCCTTGGGCTCAGAGGATGACTTTTTCCATTCCTTCCCATGATGGAGTCACAAGGTCCAGATTTACTGTCGAGCTGACAAGTTTAGCAAGTGGGAAAACTATAGAAAATAACAGCCGTTAGGAATTCAGATGCCTGAGACTGAGGCTAGTCTTGGAAGAGCCCAGCTGCCTGCCCACGTGAAGAGTTTCCAAGCCATTAAGCATGAGGGGAAACTGAGGGATCCAGCATGTCCTTGAGTAGAAAAGGACAGGGCTGGAGATCTAAGGAGGCAAGCAGCTGAGGGTTCATAGGGCAGAGAAGAAGAGAGAAGTGAGGTACAGAGGGAACCCAGTCTTGGGCTAGGCGTGGTCAAGGCACAGTGCACGGTGAAAGCAAGAACCAAGGACGCAGACTGAGTCTTTCTTCCCCTCTTTACCAGGTGGCTTCCAAGCCATCTATGTGAGGTCTCTGTCCACTACCTGATACAGAAAGACACACAGAAGAATGTCCTTTGGAAGATGGAGGCGTGGTCACATTCACTCTGTTGTCACTCGTCCCATCACTGGGAATTCAGGGATGGGCTGTGAAGTTCAACAGCTAGGGCTGGACAGGATGTCCCCAGCTAGGCAGCACCTCCAGGCTATTGTGAAGCAGCTCCCATGCTTTGCAGGATGGGTTAGCACAGCAGATGAGCTGGGGAGCCATGGGAGGCAGAATGGGTTAGTCGCCCCCTCATTTGGGTGAACCAGTACTTACTATTGAGGGAGTCAGACTTAGATGACATGGCACCAAGTGACAAACTTCACGACCCAATGATCCATGTGGCTACCTGCAAGGGGATGGCCATTTAATCCCAGGCTTTGTTACTTTTTTAGAACAGTAAGATAACCATGGAGAATTCAGGACACCTATGTAGGGGGAGCATTCCATAAAGGCCTGGAAGAAAATCCACACATTTTCCACCCACCCGTGTGCTAAATTAATAGCTTTTTTTCCACTGGTAGAGCTGAACAAGTTGATAGCAAATATTAGCTTATGTTGAACACAAACCCAGTGGAATTTGTGTATAATTTGAACCATCTAAATAGCATCTTAATAATCAAAAAGGGATATGTTGAACCAGGCATGGGGTACACCTCTATAATCCCAGCTACTCAGGAGGTAGAAGTAGGAAGATCACACAGCCCCAGGCAAACATGAGCAAAAGCAGAGGACCCTATCTAAATAGAAACTAAAGCGAAAAAGACTGGGGACATAGCTCAAGTGATAGAGCACTTACACAGCAAGCAGGAAGCTCTGAGTTCAAACCCCAATATTGCCAATCTAAACAGGGAAGGATATATTGAACTATTGACAGAGATGTGGTTTTTTTTCCAGAAACACAAACAGAGATTGATCTTCCCACATCAGCTTCTGGTTTTTTTTCTGATTGCCATGCACGTGCCAGATATTATGACTGCAGTCTTTGAGGTTGACGGATTCTGAACTATGCAGATATAACCAACAGAGGTTCCGGCAGGGAAGCAGGTGGGGAGGGAGCAGGCATTAATTAATCAGCTCATCCAAAATGAGACATCTTATGCAGCACAGTAACTCGGCACTCTGTTGAGATGGTTAAATGTGGAATGTCTCCCAAAGAATTGCTCCCCTGCATTGTGCTGTCACAGGAGGCAATGGAGCCTGTAAGAGGTGGGGTTAGTGAGACTTGTTCCAGTCTCTGGGAGCTGCCCTTAAAGGGATTATTGAGGTCTCTTCTCTTTTGCTTCCTGGACGCCATGATGCGAGGAGCTTTGCCTCTTCCCACACTCCCTACCGTAGTGCGCTGTCTCACCACAAGCCCCAAGCAGTGGGTCCAACCTTCCTCCTTTTTAAGTTCATTATTTCAGTATTTTGTTATAGTAGTGGAATGCGGACTAACACCTTTTCTAACTCGGTAGTTTAAATTGGACTCAGCGAGTCCAATTTTAAGTCAGATCACATTTATGAATATGGCAGCCTTGTCCAGAGATTCTGAATACAAAATTCTACCTTCTTCAGGAGAATTCTCACAATATATTTGGCCAATTGCCTAAAACATGGAACCAAGAAAGGTCAGATTAAATTCTGCCGAGCTGCCAAATACACCTTGGCTTTTGTGGAAAGACTTACTGTGCTGAACCTTGGTCAGAACCTTGTATTTTCCCTAGACCTCAGTTTCACCCTTAAGATGGTGAGGACAGCAGCGTCTGCCTCACAAAATAGTGTGAGGCAGACTTTTTTAGTATAAGATTACTATAAAATATCTGGTTTTTATTGGAGGTTTTTAAAATTGTGGTGGTCTTTGCCAAAAAAAAGAAAGAAAGAAAGAAAAGAAACCCTTTTGTTTCCTTTGTACGTTTTAGTGAAGGGCTTCATTTGGTGACCTAAATGACTCATTTCTGGTAATGAGTTAAGAGTTTAAGTCATGAGTTTAAAATCTGAGGAATGAGAAATTCATTTTTGGCATGAAGGATGGAGAAATCTGTCTCCTCCATCTAGCACAACAACCACTAGCATTCAAGATGGCAGCTGTTCCAACAGCCTGTGTCCCTCAGTGACCCAATGACAGCTTCCTGCACATCCACTGTGGACATACAGTATGTTCAAGGGCTATAGATTTGTGCTTTAGAAGCCATTGAAATTTCTGGGTTATTTCTATTGTATAATCTAGTGTGTTAATCAGCTTTGTGTTACTGTGACAAAATACCTGAGATAAACGACTTAAAATAAAGAAAGGTTTCTTCTGGCTCAGCTTCAGAGGTTTTACTCCATGGTCATGTGGCTCTGTTGCTTTTGGCCTGGAGGGCCAAAGGGCATCAGGGAGGGAGAATATGAAGAAGAGACCTCGTGGACATTAGGAAACAAAAGAGTCAGGACGGGGCCAGGGTCCCAATCCTCACTTCAAGGGCACATCCCTAATGACCTAACATTTTCCCTGTAGGTCCAACCTCCCAAAGGTTCCATCACCTCCAAATACACTTGGGGACCAAGCCTTATACACATGGCCCTTGGGAGACACTCCAGGTCCAAATTACAGGATTCTGATTTTCTGTCACTAGAGGAAATTATCCAAAGATTTTCAGATTTAGAAGTGCTAGATTTTTTTAAGTGTTACTTGTCAATCTGCATAAATATTTTCCTGAAGTTGCTTCAAGGGCTAATGCAGGCAAAGCAGTGTGATATAATGCAAATTGTCAAAATGAGATGTATTAGCAGAAATTCACTTCCACGTTTTCTTCTTCACTGCATTAGCTATTGGTGTTTCAGGTACACAACTGTGCGTGTCTGATGTCTGTCAAATTCAGTGTGTGTTTTCACAGATGCTGAAAAACTCTGCAGCCTAATAAATAATGTAGCATTTCTCTTGATTCCTGGCTCACAAAGCATATGGATGGAATATTGATCTTTGGAAAGTGGCTAAGGTGCTAAGATTAAGGGGAAACAGATAATTAAAAAGAATTTTAAAAAAATTCTGCAGAGATAAAAGACCAGTTCATTCTCCAACTATTTCATCTTAACGTAAGCCTAAATAACATTCAACCTTTTCTGCCACTAAACAAGCCCAAATAAGATTTGAACTCCAGGTAAAGGAGGCCATATAACAGAAGGCTTGATCAAGATCCTAGATCTGTATGGATTCTGTACGATATTATTGTTGCTCAACAGGTACAAATTGTTGTATTACGATCTTATCAGTGGTTCCTTTTTGGGGAATTTGGCAAAGTAAACTGAAGATTATTCAAAGTATAAACACTAACAGTGAGGGAAATTCTGTGATAAAAAGAGAAGTGATCAGAGACCTAGGCTGATAAACAATGTGAGGACAAAAATAAAACAAAGCCAAGTGCTATGAAGAAATATAGAAATAGCTGGGTGCCGGTGGCTCGTGCCTGTAATTCCAGCTACTCAGGAGGCAGAGTTCATGAGGATCGTAGTTCCAAGCCAGTCCAGGCAAATAGTTCACTAGACCCTATCTTGAAAAAAACCCATCACAAAAAAGGGCTGGTGGAGTGGCTCAAGGTGAAGGCCCTGAGTTTAAACTCCAGTACCGCAAAAAAAAAAAAAATGGATTCTATGTGAGAAAAATTTTAGAGTTAATGTAAAAATAGCAATCAATCGATTTGCAATTTTGGAGTGGATAAGTTCTTTGTGAGAAGGATACAAAGTTGATTCAGGGATGTAAATCAAAACCACAATGAGATGCCACTTCACACGCTTGTGGATGGCTATAATAAAAATAAAGGAAGACAAGAAACATTGTCAAGGCTGAGACCCCTTTAACACTACTGGAGGGGATGTGACATGGGACAGTCACCTTGGAAACAGTTTGAGGGTTCCTCAGAACTGATGCACAGAACTACAATTCTACTGCAATTCTTCTGGCTTGTACCCAATGGAACTGAGCCTGCTTCTCAAACAAGCACTTGAACACAGATGTTCCTAGCATCCTTATTCACCATAGCCAAACGGTAAAAACAACTCAGATGTCCATCAACAGAGAGTGCCTACACCAAATATAGCATGTCCATACAATTCAACAGTACTCAGCTAGAAGAAGGACGATGTGCTGGTACATGCTGTGTTAGTTTCTTCTCTTGTCACTGACAAAATACCTGACATTGCAACTTAAGGGAAGGAAGATTTATTTTGGCTCATGGTTTCAGAGGGCTCAGTCCTTGGTCACTTAGCCTTGTGCTCTTGGGCAGATCATCATGGTGGTGAGAGTGTGTGGTGGAGGAGGTTTCACCTCATAGGCGACAGGAAGTAGAGAGACTGACAAGAAGGGAACCGTAAGTAGATACCCCTAAGTACCTGCCTCCAGTGACCTACTTCCTCCAGATAGGTTCCACTTCCTAAATTTTCCAGAACCTCCCAGACTAGCCCTACCAGTGGGAGACTAAGCCTCCAATACATGATCCTGTGGGGGATATTTTTTATTCAACTATAATACACACTGATATATATATATATATATGCATATATGTAACCCATTAATTGCGTGTCAGTTCTTGCTCTGTGATCACAGAGGTGGTCCTTGTAAATCTTTCTCCTTTTCCAGACAAAACAATGTTAAACCTTATCAGGAGGTGATGCTGGGGCCATATAAGGAGGCTGATTTTACTCTTAGTTCCCTCTTTTGTTAGGTAAGGAAACTGAGGCTCAGAAAGCTGTCCCAGTCACTTAGCAATAACTGACAAGCAGCACTGGCCTAGGTCTCCTGGTGGGGTCTCAATCATCACCCCCTCTGCAGCATCCTTTTAAGGTATCCTATCTTTACTCCCTCCCAGGTAAGAGTACACACTGGAAATCTATTCCTGTTCTTTTCTCTTTCTCACCATGACCAGTCATCTCATCTGGTTCCCAGCCTACTGGGAACCCATCTGGATCCCATCTGGGTCCCTGTTCCAGCTCCTGGACAAAGAACTAGGTTCCCACAGCTGCACACCTGCACAGGAGTACTGAGCTTCTGCGGGTGAGGCTGGACATGGAATGCTTTGTTGATTCAGGAGGGCACTGGAGTGGGTCAGATGTTTGATCCACCCATCCAGGTGGTGGTGATATTGCTGACTCTAGAAAGACTTTCAGGGCTTGGAGCTTTAGATCTCTGGACCTCCGGGCCTTGGCCACCCAAAGGCTGGGGACTGCCAACACTGGAAGGGCTTCTTCTCACCTAACCACTACTTCTGTGCAGGTATAGCACAAGGCCCCAGATAGTTGATTGGTAACACTTACTCTGTCCCTTTCATACAAGTCTAAATCTCTTTTACAAGCTATATATGCATCCTGCCATTATTGCCAGGCAGGAGTGTTTTCCTTATAGGCCCAGGAGTCATCTCTCAGAAATGCAAACCTCAAGGAAGGTTAGTGACTCTAGCTCCCTGTCCCTTGGTAGTTAAGTTGAAGCCCTTCTCTCTGAACTGTAACTACCTGCACGTCACAGAGATATGAGAAGTTTTTGCTTTTCCTTTGGATGAAGGCAGTGAGGCAGCTCAGACAGTGATCAGGTGAATTCAGGAGGAGCCTGGGAGGATGGAGAACCAGCTGGGCAGCTGAGTCTTTCCCCTGCGACTTGGGACCCGATGCGATGCTCGGTGGAGCCAGTTGTCTACAGGGCTGTCGGGAGGCTAGGCTCTCAGACTTGCAGCCTCCTCTGGGACTCACCCATGCTGGGCGTCACCATGGGGGGCTCAGGACTTCGATGATCAAACTTTTGTTTTCTGCATTGGTGCACAGGACCTTCTGGGTTGGTAAGAGACCTGACTGTTAATTTTTTTAACTGGACAGGCAGGCACACTTGTATTATTTCAACAAAAAAGAGTGGTAAGTCATTGTCCTTGGGGTCCCATTTTGGAAAATTAGCATTTTTACCCGACCTTACACATAATCTTTCTTCAGAGGTAAGATCGCAGGTATCAATTTTCTTCGTTTGCTTTGTATTTTCTGGTTCTAAATATACAGTTTGTATGCATTAGTTGTGTGATGTAAAGAAGCTACGGTATCTGCTTTCTTTTCCTTCCTAGCAAAGCACCGCGGGGCATTCGTTGTGCCCTCGCATTTGAGTGAAACTTCGAGTATTTTGGTGAAGAGAACACGGCACACTCTTTACTTTCCTTTGGTCTGTCAAATCTCAGTTCTAACCGAAGGGTCTCAAATTAGGAGACTTGGGACCAGGACGCAACCAGGCTGCCCGTTTCTTGGGGCTAAAGGGATCGAGGAAAAGTGTGAAAGTGAGTGTGCGGGCACCAGGAGGCCATTGCTTATAAAGCAGTGCCTATGAACGGCTAGAGGTAGAGATTTGTTCGACGCTCCCTAAATGTAGTGTCGCGTAGCCTTTTGGGAAATAGAGTCCTCGTACTAGTCCTGGGCTCGGCGAGGAGCCCCGGGACGGGACTTCCGGCGCTCTGCTGCGCATGCGCGCCTCGCGCTGTGTGCGTGTTCACGCATGCGCACGGCCGCCGCACTGTCCTAGCTTCCTGTCTGTCCCAGGTCACTGCAGCCTTCGCTCCCAGACTTGGGTCACTGGTCTGTGAGAACAGCGGAGCTACCGGGGCTGAGTGCCGAGCGGCCGGGTGGACACCAGGCGGGTGCTACTGTGCGCGTCAGGGTCCGCGTGGGCCGGCAGAGGCGCGAGGGGGAAGCGCAGAGCCCGCGGCGGAGGCCCCGAGGACCCGGCGGGCGGCGGCGGCTGGACCGGGCCCGGCGCGCGGCATTCTCGGCGGACGTAGCCGGACGGTGAGTGCCGAGGACGGCAGAACTGGGCCCCGGGAGGGACGTTCGGCCTGAAATTGTCTCGAAGGTCTAGCCCCGACCTCTCGGGAGCCCCAGGGCGGTGGGGAGGTCGGGACCTGCGGGCCGGGTGAGCGCGGCCTGCTGCAGCAACCGCGCGGGCACAGCGAGGGGGCAGCGCAGGTTCCGCGGCCCCGGGGACGGAGGCCCGGCGGGCTGCACGGGTCACGGCGCTCCGTGAGGGGCTGTGAGGACCGGGAATGACGTCCTGACTCCGCACCCCGACACCCCTTCCCCCAGCTGTCCCCCTCCAGGATCCCCGAGTCTAAACGTCATGGGCACCTCTGTTCTTTGTCTGCTGACCCCCCACTCCCCCAGCTCTGTCCTGTAGAGTCACCCGGTGTAGTGCAGGAAAAGTCTCTTTTGCCTGGATCGATGGAGGAGGAAGACACTGGGCTGGGGAAGGTGGGTGACTTGACCAAGATTAAGGTCACGGGTTTGTTGGTCTCAGTGCTAACAGGAACTCAGCGTCCCAGGCCAATGTTCCTTCCACTGTGCTAGTTAGGTCACAGTAAGTTTCTTTTTGAGCAGTGTCACTTCAGTTTGTACTAATGAAATCCCAGCCATGCTAACTGTATTCCTTTATTCAAAGCATCCTATAGGTTTTCTGATCTTCAGTAAAGAGTTAGAAAAAGAATAGTTCGGTGCTGTAAAACAGAATTTCTTTTTTTACCTCGCATTTAACAATGGCCGATTAAGTCCGATCACAGTGGGAATTGCACCCATTCATTCACGAGGTTAACTTTGCAGGTTAGACAGGTTATATGGGGACCCTGACTCCTGATCATTCTCCAGCCCTTCTGAGGGCCTAAACATGACCATCTCCCATAAAATTCCCTTCTTGGAACTTTCTGGTGGTTTTGTGTGGGAGATCTCTGCCTTGGCAGATCACACATGATGACGTTCCTTGCATTTCCTTTCCCAGATCTGCCTCTCCTTTCAGACTCCTCCATGTTTTTCCAAGAGCAGCAGAAAATGAATACATCGCTGGTGAGTCTTCTGTTCCTGTGTTTATTCTGTATTTTGAGTTGCAGTGCACCTTTGAAGGAGAACAGTGATTGAAACTTTACATCAGGAAGGTGGAAATAGATAAAAGATAAAGTCATACAGAACAGATCAGGGGCCAACACCAAACTGTGTTCATATGTGTTGATAGCTAAGATTTCTTAAAGCCAGAACACAAGTGTGTCTCAGATTCTTGGCGTTCATAGCAGAAAATAATTCTACCCATTCCTTGACTTACATTGATCCTAAATGGAAATATGTTTGTCTTCTTGTGGATTTTAAAGATTTCTTTGATGTAATTGTGAATAGCTTTCCCAAATAACAATCCTTAAGCTACACTACTGATGTTTTACTTAACTTACATGTAAGCAGAGAGCGTACTGCCCAGGAAGATCTCAGAGCACAAATTTTCTGATGTCTAAATGTTGTTTCTGCGTGCCTGTAATTTTACTGTTCAATCCAGGGATCCAACATCTGAAGGAATGGACTTCTCACCCTTAAATGAGTTTCTGTGGTTGATCCGGATTGCACAGCAGCCAACGCAATGATAACTCCCATTCCCATTTTGCCTGTATCCCCTAGTCTCCATTCTGTCCCTGCTGTTCCCCTGACCCTGCTCTGGTAAAAGTTGTCAAGGACCTACTGAATACTCCCAGTGGCTGTTTTTTGGGTTGGGAGTGTTTTGTTTTGTTTGCTGTAGTGCTGGGCATTGGACCCAGGTCCTTGCACATGCTAGGCAAGTGCTCTGCCCCTGACTACACCCCAGCCCTCCAACTGGTGTTTCTAACACATGCGCCATAACTATTTTCCTGTGCTTGCCTTAGACCCCTCTGCAGTCCCCACTGTCACATCTTCCTGTATTTGAGGATGTCTTCTGCCTTCTTCCTGTGTTCTTCCATCCTTAGCTGATGGCTCTTCTTTTACCTGTCTGCCCTTACCCTCCTGTGCTTTAGTCACCAGCTCTGTGTTGTTCCCCGCATGGAACCCACACCTCTGTCCAGCTTCCCCCTGAGCATCTCAGTGGAGTATATCCAGAGGACACCACAAGTTAACAGACACCCTGCCTTCATGCCTGTCTTCACGTCCCTATTGGTTCATTGTTGTATCTTCCAGACCGTAACCTATGCAGAAAAATGGAATTTGTTTTCCATTCTCTGTAGCCACATGTGACAAGTTTGCCGGTGTTATATTCTGAGTTATTTTTGTTTTGTTTTAGGTAGTACTGGAGTTTGAACCCAGGGCCTTGCACTTGCTAGGCAGGTGCTCTATTGCTTCAGCCACATTCCCAGCCCTTTTTGCTTTAGTTATTTTTGAAAAATATCTAGGGTAGGGTCTTGTGTTTTTGCCTGGGCCATGCCTCCAAACTTTTTTGTTTGTTCTTTGAGGCAGGATCTCCCTATGTAGCCCAGGCTGTCCTCAGACTTGATATCCTGCACAGGTGTGCACCACCACGCCTGGTTTCTGAGTGGTTTTTATCCTTTTCCCTGTCCTGTACCTGCTCCCAGCTGAGTTTTGCATCTGGGATCATTGCAGGAACTTCTTTTTTGTGCTCCACCTTCTTTCCTTCGCGAGCTGAAATGCATTTCCCACCTGGAGGCCTCCTGAGACCTTCATCAGATCCTGCCGTTTCCACATGGAAAGCTCTCCAGAGGCTCCCTGAGTGGCTGGGAAAATGAGGTTGCCATTGAACCAAGGGCGAAAGTGCTGGGAAAAGCAGGTTTGAGAGAGCACAGAATGAGGTTTTAGCCTTTGGAAATTGGAACTGAGCCTGAAGTGAGGTGGTGATGTCAGGAAGACAGTGTGTGTTGGGGCTGTGGAAGATGAGTCTGGGTGGAGAGACAGCCTGGGAAGTTGTTCCGAGGAGAGGGAGAAGGGAATGAGCCTGGAGCTGGAGAAGGAGGAACTCAAATGGTGATGGAATGGTCACAGACTTGGGTTCCAGGTGAGCCAGTGGATGGTTAATGGTAGGTCGGCTGTAACATTCCTTCTCTCTCTTCTAGAAATAGGTCATGAGCCAAGAGTGAGAGGGGGCTGTGGGGTAGGAAGAGAGCCCTCCTGAGGGAGTACATGGCTCAGTGACTTCCTTCTCTTGCTTGAAATCCCATCTGGGTACAGGGAGACTAGTGACTCCCCCACGGAGACTTTCTTCTCGTGCTGAAGTCTGACTCTGCTCTTGTGACCCTTCTAGTGTTTTGTCTGGCTGTCTTAGCAATTAATGCTGCTTGTCTTCAGGTTTGGGGCAGGATTTTAAGAGGCACTTCTTGGCTTGGAGGCCTTGGAGTAGTAATTTATAGTAAGTAGGGGCAACAATGCAGTCTTTGGAAATGTTGAGATAGCAAAGCATGGTGTGGTTTTAACTGTTGTGAAGGTGTCATTACTCACTTGGAAAGGTGTGGGGGACAAGGTGGCTCTCCACAGTGCTGGGGTGACTGGGGTTTGAGTAGTTTCAGAGCTCAGTCAGGGCGCTCAGGGGCCTGAGCAAGGTCCTGCAGGCCAGTAAGAGGCTCTGCTTTCCTTTTCCAGTTTGGGTCATGTTAGTAAACATTTTCTTCCGGGTTGATTCGTCTTTATTTTCTAGCATTCCCATATGGTTGTTTACTATTTTCATTTTGAGAATGGAGGATTTCATAGTTTCAAAGTTTCAGAATGAAAAAACTGACATGGATGGCTTCCCAGGGCCAGAGCGCCATTTATATCAGTAATCAAGTGAGACTTCTTAGATGGGCGGTGTCAGTGATGGAGTGAGAGGAAGTCGTTGTCCTCTGGTTCTCATTCTGGGATTCTTGGCTTTCCTGTTCCTATCCCTGGAGTTCTATACCTGTCATGTTCCTGGGATGGACCATGTCGGTGGCATCCTTTCCAGCTGACCCTCTGGAGTCTGCATGTCTCAGAGCATCTGCCTCTTTCCTTCTATTCAGGGGGACTCCTCTGGCTGGATTGAGGCCTCTGGTCTGCTACACTTTGGCTTCCGGAAGCTCTCCCTGTTTCATGGTGCCAGTGGGTGGGTTCTTGTCATGCAAGAGAGGTTGCAGAGCTGCAGAGGCAACGGAAGTCTCTTGAGGAAGTACATTTTCTCAGTTTTTATTAATGGAGCTCCAGTGCCTCACCTTGAACTCCTATCTTCCCCAGCCACTCACAACCAGAGGTTGGAGAACGAAAGGAGACTCCCTTGCCCACAGCAGAGGAGAAGCCACACTGTCTGCGCAGGAACCACACTCTGAGAAAGTTTCCAAGAGTCTCCTCACTCACGGCTCCACTGTTCTGGCTTCTGTGATAATGTAATACATTTTTGAGCTCTGTTATAACAAAATCATCTTTGGAATACTGCCTCTACTGACCAGTTGTCAGTCTAGTTTTTGTGACCAGGTCTTGCTATGTTGCTTAGACTGGTCTTGAACTCCTGGGCCCAAGCCATCTTGATCTTCCCACCTCAGCCTCCCAAGTAGCTGGTACTGCAGGCATGTACTGCTATGCCCCAGCTCTGCTGAGCAGTCTCTTAAGACTTGTGCAGCATAGATTGTACCTGTGCCTTAGGAACTACTAAAATCTCTAAACCTGTGGAATTCTGATCAGTTGTCTTAGCAGTTTGTTATCCAGCTCCTCTGAAACCCATTTCTCAGTTCTTGTTTGCAAGTCAGCCACAGTCAAGGCTGGTGAAGCCTGGGTAAAGTGTGCATATAGCTTCTAGAAGCCACATGATTCCTCATCCAGGCAGCTTCTTCACTGACTGGGCAGTTACGTCATAGATCAGTCTGGCTGGGACGGGACCCGTTTCTCCCACGACTGTGGATCCATCCTGAACAACTCAGCACCTGGAGCTGAGGGACAGTACCAGGCCATCTCAGGAATTTTTCCTGCACTTGTGGATGACTGCACACCCGGAAGCTAAACTGATCAGAAACATCAAGAGTTTCGTGCTGTCCACATGGCCACACCCATCCTGCCTCTTTGGTGTGCTGAAGTTATCTGAAACTTTCTGTTTTTCGTGTTTTATAATCCTCTCTTGGCTTAATAGCCACATTACTTACTTCAGTTATTTGAACTTACATGTTTTATGGGGAATTTTCTGTCCTAATTTTTTAAGTGTTAAGGTAGATAGTAGGCAATACTGTCTCAGTGCTTTCCATGGGATCCCTGTCCCCACTTCATGATAGTGTGTGAGGGACTGTCATCATTCTTATTACAGAGGTGAAGAGAGCAAAGGAAGCAGTCACAGTACTTGTGTGTTTGGGAATGGGACGGTTTATTCAAAAGAGGCACATTTTGTCTGTTTGCGGTAAGGTGTTTGTCCCTTGTCAAGAACATGCTTCTGGAATGTGCAAATGAGATAAAAGGGAGTGTACAGTCCCCAGCTGAGAATTGGGGATAACTGAGCCAACTTAGTGCTGACACTTCCTGTGGCAGGCTGTGGGCTTACCCTGCAGTAAAACACAGAACTAGAACGTCTGTGGCCTGGCTTGCTTGTTGCTTTGGTGATTGTGGCAAGTGTTGTAGAGTGACTATGGAGGGACAGGCATGGACAGGAATACCAGCTGAATTTCAGGCATGTCGAATGTAAGATCTGGAAAATATGTGTCTGGAGTATAGAAGAGAGACCTGCACTGGTGATAAAAATTTGGGACGTGTTGTTGTAGATGACAAATTAGTCATGAAGCCAGGCAGGCTCACCATCAAAGGAGCAAGTGCCAATCACAAAGGGAAAAAGACCACAGCCTGGCTCTGGGATGACTAAGAGGAGACTGGGAAGCAGTGGCCTGAGCAGTATGGGCAGCACTATTTTAACGTCCTGGAGGCAAAATGAAGAGTGTCAGAGGAAGAGTGCATCCTGGGGTTCCATGAGTCTCCCTCAGTCCCGTGTGTCCCAGGGCAGAAGCTGTACCCGCTGGTATTGGTGTGTCCATCAACCAGGATTCTTCTTGGCTGTCAGAACAAGCCCAGTATTTTCCTAATGTGTATGAATGAGCCCCCAGGCAGTGTACTTCTGATGTGTGTGTTTTCCTCTATAATCTATAACACAGTGTTCATGGCTAACTGTACCGGTAAGCTTGAAAAGATCTTGTCCCATGTGCCCTTTCCCTGTCACTCACTGATTACGGGGCTATTGCAGGAGCTGGTGTCCTTCAAGGACGTGGCTGTGGACTTCACCCAGGAGGAGTGGCAGCAGCTGGACGCTGACGAGAAGACCACGTACAGGGACGTGATGCTGGAGAACTACAGCAACCTCGTCTCCGTGGGTGAGGCCGCTTGCTTTCTCAGCTGCTGCACAACATGGGCTTTCTCAGATTTAATGACTAGCTTCGAAGGCAGTGGGACAACTGTAAGTAGTCTGTTTGGGGCACCAGGCAGGGCATTTTGGTCTCAACCTCCCAGTGAAAGGTTCTGATTTTAATGAGGCACCGATACACTTGTGTTGTGCGGCTGCCACCACAGCACTCACCCAGCATGGCAGGAGCCCTAGTCATGCAGCAGGTTCAAGTTCTCTTTCATTTCTCATTAACAGGGTATCACACTATCAAACCAGATGTCATCCTCAAGTTGGAGCAAGGAGAAGAGCCATGGACTGTGGAAGAAGCACTCCCTCCTCTGAGCTATCCAGGTGTGTTAGTGGAGGCAGAGAGGAGCTGGTAACTGGAGTGCGCTCCTCCCAGAACTTTCTTACGGTTCCAGACTTCAGAAGTGACAGAGGACAGTTCCTTTTATGTTGTAGGTTCATGACTCAATCCCAAAGACTTGTTCCTCCCCCATACAAACATATGCTTATAGAGCTCTGCCCTGCTTCCCACTTCCCACAATCAAAGAAGGCCCTTCCTTCTTCCTCTAAGCCTTGGGTCTTTGCTCACTCTTCTAGCATTCTCAGTAGCCCATTGTCATAGATCCCTTTTGTTTTTCGGTGCTCAAAGTTCTGCAGCTTATGTTCTTGCTATGTTCTTGGACTGGCTTGCTTCTTTCCTTGCTTGCTTGCCCATTCCACCCCCACACTCCCCTTCCTACCATGCTTTGAACTTGTTACTGCCCCAAATTCACTTTTTACTTCTTTTTCTTTGAAAGAAATCTAAAACCCCCATCTTGTGCCTAAACCAGTAGATTCCACCCCCTCTACCAGCTTGCACACTGTGCTTTCTTCATTGGGCAGTGCTGATCGTTCTGAAGACTTGCCCTCCTCACAGGTGGGCAGCAGTAGCTAGGGCTCCCTCTCTTCCCAGTGCTTTGAGTAATGTCCTTGTAGCAGGTGCTCAGCAGGTATTCTATACATAAGTAGCACCACCTCTTCCAGGATCTGCTTCCACCTGCGTGATTTCCCTGTTTCCTGAGTAGTCTTCACAGGGCTTCTCCAGTCTCAAGTCTGTTGGGTTGTCTGTTTGTTTGTTTTTGCAGGACTGGGGTTTGAACCCAGGGATTCATGATTGCTAGACACTTGAGTTATGCCCCAAGTCCTTTTTGCTTCAGTTATTTTTCAGATAGAGCCTCGTGCTTTTGCCCAGGCCAACCTCAGACAACATTCTTCCTATGTCTGTGCCCCGAATATCTGGGACTACCATGCCCAGCTTGTGTTGAGATGGAGTCTCACTGAGATTTTACCCAGGGTTGACCTCAAACCAAAATCCTTCTATCTCCAGCTCCCACCTAGCCTAGATTATAGGCACATGCCACCATACGCAGCCCACATGTCAGGTTTTTGTTTGTGTGCTGCTCACACTCTGCATCTCTGCCACCATTCTACAGTATACCATTTTTCAGGCCAAGTATTTTCTGCGAAAGCAGTGTACACTTCTCTCATTCTCATCATATCTGAAAATTGATCATGAACTCTCCCAAATAATTATTGCTAAGCGCCTCTCCCACCTCCCCTTCTTTACTAAATGACCCTGTTCTCTTCTTTCCCCATGGTGGCCCCAGTGGAGTCTAAAATACCCACTTCTCACCAGGTATTACTGACCTCTCCAGGACAACTGGGGTTGTTCCTGTGACATGCTTTGATTTATCCTCCAGGTATTCTTAGTTGCCTTTGATTTAATGTAAACTAGAAGAGCTCTCTTGTGTCTGGATTACTGTGAATCATGAGTGGATGTGCAAAATGTCTTCAGCTGAAGTCTCCAATCGATCCTGTCACTCATCCCACAAGACAAGCCTATTCCCATTGACATGATATCAAGAGGGAATTAGCTTCCTTTTCCTTCAGGGATCACAGCATTGGCCCTTAACTGCCTATAGAAAGGATTTTCCTCAAGTGCTCACTAGACTCATTTGATCCACAGGCCCAGTGTCTTGTCTTTGTGAGATTTTAATCCTGCAGCTTTATATTTCTTTAGCGTGGCTTTTGTTCTTTAAGTCTGAGCTCAAATTTTCCACCCCCTCCTTGAAGTTTTTCCTTACACAACCTTGTCATCTGGTCTCTCCCTTCTCTCAACTTCAGTTCCACCTAGTGAGGAATCTTTAAAACATTTGCCTGACCAAGTAATCTGTAATCTGATATATATTTTACTTGACCATTTTCTTCTCCTCTAAAGAAAAGGGCATGTTTTCCTCCCTCAATGTAGAATGTAACATAGAGTAGACATCTGTTTCTTTGGTTATCTGAGGAGCCAGGCAGGCTCAAAAACCTTGTCTATCCATTCAGAAATAATTCCTAGGCAGGTATTTGTACATATGCATACCTGGGTCACATCCCTATATATCTTAGAAGTGTAGAAAAATAGTCGTATGATTCAGATACAGCACAACCTCTAGCCAGGTGTGGGGGTGCATTCAGGATGTAATTTACAACTTGGGGTTTTATGTGGGGTGCTGGTGTTCCAGTGCAAAGCTGGATCAGTTTGTGCTCAGCCAGTTATATGACAGCAGTTACTTTCAATTTCAAGGGGAAAGGAGTTAATTGAGTAAGGGAAGATTTGAGAAATATTTTCATTAAGCCTGGAATCCTCCTTTAAAGATAAACTTGGAGACTGGAGCTGTGGTTTGGTGGTAGAGCACTCACCTAACACGCGAGGACCTGGGTTCTATCTAAAAATAGCAGTCAAGGTCGACTTTGAGTGGAGGAGGCAATCAGAGGGAAGCAATGAGAGTGATGGGTGTGCATTGGGCGCATGGCAGCCATAGCATCAGGTGCTAAGATCACGATCTTGGCCCAGTGTAAAGTACTGCTTACTTCAAGCACATCCCCACATGGATCTGTCTGACAACTCCCTCTCCCAGCAGCTTGGTTTTCCTAGAAGAGAACATTTTTGCTGATGCCTCTTTCTAGATCAGCCATTGATTCTGGTAAAAGTATTGCTTATCATATCTTCCCCTCATTTTACCTGTTGATTTAGGGGAGCTGTAGGCTTGAGAGATTAGGTTGATATAATTTCACTTAATGTGGATGATAGCAAGTAAAATAGGTTCATCCCAGAATTTCTACGAGCAGTACAAACAGAAGCACTATTGTGGAGTTTTTGCTCCCGTTTCCTGCATAGGGGACAGAAAATGTTTCTCTTCTCCATGTCCCCCTTGTCTGTACTTTATCCTGTTAAACTAAAATAAATCCTTGCCAAAAAAAAAGGCACTATTGTAGGAGCAGGCTGAGGGACTGCTTGTTAAAGTTTGTACACTAAGTGGAGTCAGGTTTGACATGAATTAGGTGACGGGAGGGACTGGTTTAAAGAAATTGTCAGGAGACAGTTCTGAGTGCTTTGTTAACTGCTGTACATCCTCAACAGCCCTAAGCGTTGAGCCGTTATCTCCAGTTGACAGGTGGGAACATTGACAAAGGCTGTCAAGTAGCTTGCCCTGAGTCACCTCACTGAGTTCATGCATCACTGTCCAAATGAAGAACAAAAGGGTCTTAGGTCACAGCCTGGTTAAGCTATTAAGAAGTCTGAACTTTCAGAAGGGCAGCATGCTCTTGTGGACTCTTTTACACTTCCTGTTGAACATAAATGTCCAGAACTTTCCTTCCAAGTGAAACAGAGTACGAGGGACAGCTGCTCTTATAGGTTCTAAACATGAAGAAATTGAGGTGTAAATCTCTTTGGCACTACTGTATGGGATGGGGAAAAGTGTGTGGCAGGATGCAGAGTAGTGAAAACGCCACACAGAAATCTTGGCACAGTTGCTGATGCTTCAGATTTTGATCTGTCCCCCAGCACCATGTGAAGTGGTGCAGTGTAAAGTACCCATCTGCCACCAAATGGAGCCCTGCTTCCATGGGCCTGCTTCCTCTGGTGCAGCAGTGCTGCCAGTCTCCTTGTCCACACCTTTCTCATCCTCCTTCTCAGCCTTTCACCCAGCATCCTCTCTCTACCAGTCATTGCTCAGTGTATTTTATCTTCTGTGCCCAGTTTTGAACAAAATATTACAAAGTAGCCAAGACCATAGATGCCATGTTTTTGTCAGTTTACTTCCTTTCCCCCACTGGAGATATGCCTGTGTTGTTCTAAACAAAAAAGCAAGGAGGAAAAGAACCTGAAATTTTTTCATCTGCCCTTGTAGCTAGTATCCACCCCTCAATGAGATGCTGTATACTAGTCTCAGTCCATGTCTTTTTGTAGGAATATGTACAAAAGTTGGTTCATTTGCCTCTTTTCAGATGAAGACTGGCAAGAGGATGACCTGATAGACAGAGTCCAGGAAGACGAAGCTAAATATTCAAGGCCGACTGTGCTTTTCAACAACAGAAGCCTGGTTGAAGAGAGAGGTAATGTTGCTGGAAAAGTGTTTAATGCAGAAATGAACCCTGTTTCTTCAGGAAAAACAGCCTCTAAGTGTGACTCCTGTGAAAAGAGTCTGACATGTGTTTCAGAGTATATTAGTAGTGATGGAAGCTATGCAAGAATGAAACCTGGTGAGTGCAGTGGTTGTGGGAAATCCCTCCTTCACATTAAACTTGAGAAAACTCATCCAGAAGATGACGCCTACGGACTTAATCAAAATGGAGAAGCTTATGCTCTAGGTGGAGAAAATATTTATCAGAAAATTCATATTTTGGAGAAACCCTTTGAATACCTTGAATGCCAGAAAGCCTTCCCAAAGGACACAGTTTTTGTTAATCACATGGAAGAAAAGCCCTATAACTGGAATGAATCTGAAATAGCCTTTCTCCAAATGTCAGACCTCAGTGTCCATCAGAGGTCTCACTTGGAAATGAAGCCCTATGAATGCCATGAATGTGGGAAATCTTTCTGTAAAAAGTCAAAGTTCATCATACACCAGAGGACTCACACAGGGGAGAAACCTTATAAATGTAACCAGTGTGGGAAGTCCTTCTGCCAGAAGGGAACCCTCACGGTACACCAGAGGACCCACACTGGGGAGAAGCCCTATGAATGTAATGAATGTGGAAAGAACTTCTACCAGAAGTTACACCTCATTCAGCACCAGAGAACCCACTCAGGAGAGAAGCCCTATGAATGTAGTTATTGCGGGAAGTCCTTTTGCCAGAAAACACACCTCACCCAGCACCAGAGAACACACTCAGGCGAGAGGCCTTATGTTTGTCATGACTGTGGGAAGACCTTCTCCCAGAAATCAGCACTTAACGATCACCAGAAAATTCACACAGGCGTGAAACTCTACAAGTGCAGTGAGTGTGGGAAATGCTTCTGCCGCAAGTCTACTCTCACGACCCACCTGAGGACACACACAGGGGAGAAACCCTATGAATGCAACGAGTGTGGAAAGTTCTTCTCCCGCTTGTCATATCTCACTGTGCATTACAGAACTCATTCAGGAGAGAAACCCTATGAATGTACGGAGTGTGGGAAAACCTTCTACCTGAACTCAGCCCTCATGAGACACCAGAGAGTGCACACGGGGGAGAAGCCTTACGAGTGTAACGAGTGTGGAAAGCTTTTCTCCCAGTTGTCATACCTTACTATCCATCACAGGACCCACTCGGGAGTGAAGCCCTATGAATGTAGTGAATGTGGGAAAACGTTCTACCAGAATTCAGCCCTTTGTAGACATCGGAGGATACACAGAGGAGAGAAGCCCTATGAATGTTACATATGTGGGAAGTTCTTCTCCCAGATGTCATACCTCACTATCCATCATAGGATTCATTCAGGAGAGAAACCCTATGAGTGCAGCGAATGTGGGAAAACCTTCTGCCAGAATTCAGCCCTGAACAGACATCAAAGGACGCACACAGGAGAAAAAGCCTACGAGTGCTACGAATGTGGAAAGTGTTTCTCTCAGATGTCCTATCTCACTATCCATCATCGGATCCATTCAGGAGAGAAACCCTTTGAATGTAATGAGTGTGGGAAAGCCTTCTCCCGGATGTCATACCTCACGGTGCATTACAGAACCCACTCGGGAGAGAAGCCCTATGAATGTGCCGAGTGTGGGAAAAAGTTCTATCACAAATCAGCCTTCAATAGCCACCAGAGAACTCATAGGAGAGGGAATGTGGACGTAGTTAATATGGGAAGGCTTCTCTGAAGTCAGTCCTCAGATACCTGTTTCAATGTGATCAACTAGAAATTCCCTCCTGCGGTCAGACACTGTGGTACAGCTGGCCTTCTGTATCCATAGGCTCCGTAACCATGGATTCCACCAGCCAAACATATTTGGGGAAAAAATTTGCATCGTACTAAACGTGTAAGTGTGTTTTTTCTTGTTATTACACCCTGAATTATACAGTATAATAACTACTCAGCATTTAAGTTGTATGAAGTATGAGTAATCTAAAGAGGATATAACGTGGGAGGACTGCGTAGATGGTCTACAGAAACTGCATCACTTTTCATAAGGACTTGAGCATCTGAAACTTTGCTGTCCCCTGCCCCTCAAATACCAAGGGACAGCTGTGCATCAGAGCTGTGGGCAAGCCCTGTGCATTGGTCACATTCTTCATCTGAAAATTCACAGGGTAGAAACCACGTGGCACCAGACAGTACAGAGTAAAAACATACAGACACTTAGAATGTTCATATGTTTCTCCATGGATTCAAACTTGTCAGGGAAGTCTATCAATTTAAGAAATGTGGAAGGTATACTCCTTTGGATAGTGTTAATGTTAAAAGCAAACTTTTTGTAAAAAACAAGGTGTTGGGGGCATGGCTCAAGAGGCAGAGAGCACCTGCATAGCAAGCGTGTGACCCTGAGTTCAAACCCCAGTACTGCCATGGGTAAAAAACCCTAGAAGATACCTGCTGTGAATAAACTGTGTAAATAGAAGATGTAGAAACATCAGGATAGCTAGCCAAGACCACAACATTAAACTCATATATAAACAGTTCCCCAGGAACATAAGGCATAAGGTTTTTTGTCTGTTTTTTAGCCTGTTCCATTATAGGAATTGTACACTCAGTTGGAGTCATGTTTGAAAGAGCATTGTATCGTTACTGATTTGTCACGTGGGTAAGACTACCCATTCTAGGTAGCACCACATTAACATCTTAAAATGCCCTGTCACTGAAGTAGTACTTGGTAAAGTGTACCTTTTCCTGTGTTAGTTCCCAGACTTACAAATGCATTTGATCATTGTCAGTGAGCTATATCACCCATACAGAAGCTAGTGTTTTTATGTTTTCAACTATAGATGAGTCAGCAAAAGAGATAGAAATATATGTATAAAATACATAGAAAACTCTGCACAGATCATTTTAAATTAAGCCAGAAGTCTCCAGGAACGAGAAATAGCTTTAGTACTTATTGCACTGTGTACACCTAAAACATAGGCTATTCTCTATTTCTATCTGCATTTCATCTTTTTTTTTTTTTTGATTGCTTATGTAAGTTTTTACAGAGCACAAATGCTGTGTGGCCTTGGAATAACTGTCTTTCCTTGATATGCTGTTGGTTGTAACTGTTGTGCTCGGCTCCTTCTGATTACTGAAGGAATTGAGAACCAATGAAGAGAGGTTGCGGCAGACATTGCCTCAAGCACTCCTTCCTTATCTCTGCTGGCCGAGTCTGGCACCCATTCCTCCTGGGCGGAAGGAAGATCCTGACTAGTTTCCATCAGTGGTAGCAATCTTTTCACAATGCCAGCAGTGGGTTTTGAGTGGCCGTAGAACCCAAGTCTAGACAGACACCTCACAGCTCGTTTGTGGGCAGGGTTTCCTCAGTGGTTCAAGAGTTCAGGCAAGGCGAGGCATATGGGTCCATGACATCACCGTCTCTGGTGTGGGGCTTGCTAACGTCTCTCAACGGTGAACTGTACCTCCTCACGGCCTGCGCAGAAAGACCAAGAACTTGGGACCCAGAATGCACTCAGCCATGACGCAGCCAGCCTTGGGACCACTCCGTCGCCCTGTCGCTTTCATGAGAGATGGTTTGTTTTTAAGCCAGTTCACTTAAAATGTCCCGTTGGTCATAACTAAAGACATCTGATTCAAGTTACACTTTTGTAAGAGTTATGCAATTCAGAAGTGGACTTCAGGAGAATCACTTATTTTGAGGTGTTGAAAGAGATTTATTTTCTGTGAATTTTGATGTAAATAGTCTGAGCATTGGAAATCAACTTGAAACAATTAAATGTGTATACTTCCTGAACTGAACTGACTGCAGCACCGACCTTTGAACCTGGCATAACACAGGAATGCCTCTGTTTTCCTCGCACATGAGTTTCGTTTGAGGTAATTTAATTTATGTTATCTGTGGATCGTTGCTGTTACTGGTAGTATGTGGTGTGAGATAAGGATCTAAATTTGCTTGCTCTGAAATGACTAGCCTGATACCCTGTATCGTTTGGCTACTTTTCCTTTCTCCCCACTGAGCTGAAATGCCACCCTTTTCATATATGAAAATCACACATGGCTCCTGCTCTTGTTGCCCAGCACTTGTTCTCCCTGTTCTTCTACATGACTCTCCCCCCTGAACGGGAACCCAGCAGGGTGCCTAAAGACCTAGAAGTATTTTTCTCTCTTTCGACCCCAGGCTCATGCCTGTAATGCCAGCTACTCAGGAAGTGGGGATTAGGACAATCACAGTTTAAGGCCAGCCTGGGAAAAAAGTTAGTGAGACCCTCATCTCAACAAACAAGCTGAGTATAGTAGCTTGTGTCTATAATCCCAGCTGTGCAGGAGGCATAGGAAAGAGCATCATGGTCTGAGGCGGGTCAGGGCACAAAGCATGAGACCTTATCTCAAAAACGGGTGGGGGGTGGGGGGTGCTGGGAGGCATGGCTCAAGTAGTAGAAGGCTTGCTAAGCAAATATGAGGCCCTAAGTTCAAACTCCAGTACTTACTAAATAAATAAGCTTAGGAATAAATTTAACCAAGAAGATGAAATTTTTTTTGCATCAAAACTACAGAACATGAAAAAATTGGAGAGACAAATAAATGGAAAGATACCCTGTGTCCAATACAGATCAGAAGAGTGAGTATTGTTAATATGTCTGTGCAGTTCAAGGCAATATACAGATTCAACACAATCCCTACAAAAATTCTAATGCATTATTCACAGAAGTATGGGAAAAATCCTAAAATTCAGTTAAGGCCACATTTTAAAAACCCAGAAAACTAAAGAACAAAGCAGTATTCCCAAAGAAAAGGTTGGAGGCAATCATACTTCCGATTTGACTTTTTTACATCAGCTACTCGGGAGGCAGAGGTAGGAGGATCATGGTTCAGGGCCAGCCTATGCAAAAAGACTATCTCAAATAGCAAGCTAGATGTGGTGGTGTGTGCCTGTAGTCGCAGCTACACAGGAGGCAGAGATGGGAACATGATCACCAACTCAGGTTGTTTCCGTACAGTCAGGAGTCATGCTGCCATGACCCTGGGAGTAGAGGTGTATTTGTGAGGTGGTCCTAAATCTTTCTTTTTAATACTATTTTCCCTGAAGCTTTGCCAATCTACATCCCATCCAGTGTACCAGGACACCCTTTTCTCCATGCCCTCACCAGCACCGGGATCTCTCGGGTGGGTGAGGCTGCATCTCATAGTGGCTTTGACTTGCATCTCCTTGATTAGCAATGTTGAGTGCATGTGCACGTGCACATACCCACGTGTTGGGTATTTTTTCGTTTTGGTGGTGCTGGGATTTGAACTCAGGGTCTTGTGCTTGCTAATCAAGCTCTCTAACACTTGAGCCACATCCCCAGCCCTTCTGCTTTAGTTACTCCTCAGACAGGGTCTTGTGTTTTTGCTAAGCTAGACATTGAGGGAGAAAAGCGAGTCACTCCTGCTGCCACCCAGAGGGACTGGCACGTGTACATCTTGCAGGCACCTTCAGAGCATCCTTACTCACACTTGACCTCATTTGAAAAAGGTCCCCAGTGACTGGCACACAAGAGTGGCTACCACACTCAGCCTGTGTCCAAATGCATTTGTCCCGGGATGTGCCCAGCAACCGGGTGTCCGTCCATACACACACATACGCACACACGCACATACACACATACGCAGAGTTGTTGACACAGGTGAACACGTGGTTTTCACCAGGTTCTCCTCATTGTGTCAAATTCCTGAAAACAATGTAAGAGAAAGAAGGATTTATTTCGGCTCATGGTTTCAGAGGGTTTACGCCATAGTTAACTGGCTCCTGTGCTTTTAGGCAAGACAGAAGTATGGAGGAAGGGTATGGTGGAAGAGACCTGCTCACCTCATTGCAGCCAGGAAGCCAAGAGCCTTGTCTAGTGGGCTTCCTCCTTCTGCCTCTTGTTCCATTCAGGCCCCCGGCACATGGGATGGTGCTGCCCACGTTCAGGGTGGGTTTTCCCCACTAAGTTATTCTCTCTGCAAACAACCTCAGAGACACACCTAGAGGTGTGTGTTACTTATCTCCACTGATGCTTCTCAGTCCAATCAGGTTGGCAGCCAAGGTGAACCATCACACCGCACCCACAGGTGTGTACTTGCCCTGCCCAGCTGAGAAGTAATCCTGGCAGAACCTGCATCCAAGGGAAGCTCAGCCCTGCACCAGAAAACACTCACTTGGGTTCAGGCAGGAGGCAGGACTTGGGCTTTCTGCATGCAGCCTCCCGACCAGCTCCTAGACCATGGGGACATCATGAGATTACTGAGTCCAAAGGGGACTTTGAAGAAAATCAAGAGCCCTGGCCTTCGCTGAGTGTGGTTTGCACACCTTTAATACCAGTGACGTGGGAGGCCAAGAAGGAAGGATGGTCTCAAGATTGAGACCAGAAAAGTGAGCAATACCTTGTCTCAGAACTAAATATAAACACAAAGTCTGGGGCCAGACTCAAGAGGTGCAGTGCCTGCCTGACAAGTGCAAGGCCCTGGGTCAAACCCCAGCACAGAGCGGGGGAGGTGAATTGGGGCAGGGAGGCGGTCCAGGATTGGGTTCCAGTGGTCTCTCTCTGAGCAGTCGTTGGTTTTGGGGTATGTAAAACCTGCACATACTCCCCACAGACCTACCGACATGGCTTAGCAGCTTCAGGACTCATTCACAGCGGGGCCGTAGTGAGGAGGGCAAGCAAGGCTCTGTCACTGGAGACTGGGCCACCTGTTCAGCAAACCTGAAAGGGCCTCAGTGGGTGTCAGGACTCAAGGGCAGAGCAAAGGAGCACACAGCCACCCACCTGACTGCCCTCCCTCCATCCCTCCATGGCCACTCTGCAGGGCCTTCAGTGGAAAAGCATTGTAAAGCAAGAGCAATTAAAAACAAACAAACATGCCCCTATGGGCACAATTATAAGATAGTTCAGTAAAACAGAACAAAACTCAAAATGGCAGCACACATCGAAGCCACAATGTGTGAAGAAGCTGAGTTGAGACCCACATATGCTGTAACCAAGAGAGAAAACGGCGCACCTGTAATCTCAGCACTTGGGAGGCAGAGACAGGAGGATCACGAGGTCAAGGCCAGCATCACAAGGTGAGCGAGACCCTATTTCAAAACCCAACACTGGGAGGCTGGAGCAGGAAGATCCTGAGTTTGGGAACAGCCTGGGCTACATAGCAAGACCGTGTGCATGTGTATAAGAGAGAGAGAGAGAGAGGCACTAGCGTGGCGAATCTGTAGTGACACTATTAAGCTATGGAGAGATATTCCCCATGGACAACTATATTTGTCTCCATCACATGAATTAAACATACACAACACGTGTGTGTTTCCTACTCACATAAGTACTACTCACCTCGTCCCTTCAAGCATCTACCACAAGCTTGCTGTTGTGACCTGCATCTTTTAAAAGCCTTTTTCTGGGCCGGGGATGTAGCTCGGTGGTGGAGTGCTTGCCTAGCATGCACAGACAAGGCCCTGGATTTGATCCCCAGCACCAAAGGGCTGGGGACAGAGCTTTTATCTTCCAACAATTAGAAGTATCCTACATCTTATTTTCAAAATTTGGTACCATTTTTGAAATACGACTTCTACACTATTTCTGGAGGACAAAAGGTACCCCATCTCTATCCAGGTGCTGGTAGCTCATGCCTGTAATCCTAACTACTTGGGAGGCTGATATTGGGAGGATTGCAGTTTGAGGCCAGCCTGGGCAAAAAGTTCATGAGACCCCCATCTCAATCAATAGTTGGGCACGGTACACACACGTCATCCCAGCTACAGTGGGAAGTGTAAAATACAAGGATCAGAAACCAGACAAGAGCCTGTCTCCAAAGTAACCAGAATAAGAAGGGATGGAGGCGTGGCTCAAAGGTAGAGCACCTGCTTAGCAAGTGTGAAGCCCTGAGTTCAAACCCCAGTACAGCCAAAGAGAAAAGTATTTGGTCTCCTAAATTAATAGTGTTCCCTTAGTATTATTTGCTAATATGTTAAAAGGGTTTTTTTTCCTTGAAAGTTTTCATACATGTAGATTTGTAAATTCTTTTATACTTAAAAAAAAATCTTTTTAAGATAGTCTTGTTATTCCACCCAGGCTAGCCTCAAACTCCTATCCTCCTGCCTTAGCCCCCCGAGTTCTGGGATTACAGACATGCACCACCACACCAAGTACTACTTTTGTTGAATTTTTTCCCCTGTGGTTTTGAAGTTGGGCCCTGAAGGCTGTAGTCATAACAGGTGTTCACGTCTCCTGAAACAAGGATTTTTTTCCTATGTGGCTAAGTTGCCAATTTGAAATAAATCTGAGTTGTTTTAATTTCAGGATCTGCTTTTATTTCTTTTTTGAATATGCGAATAACGATTTACATTCAAATGTTCTCCCCGTGCTTGCTCTGCTGCATGTCTGATATGCTGGTGGACGCCGAGGCACACAGGACACTCGGGGGTCTCCCACTGCCGTGCCCTGACATTTGCTAAGACTCGAAGCAAAGGTTTCCCATATTCATTTTGTTCATGGAGAGCCCATAACCCTGAATCCTTGAATTTTCTAGGGCAGCTGAATTTACACAGACCTGATTACATTCACGTTTACTCCTGAGTCCTCGCTGGTGTGACAGGCTCAGCCCACACGTGACAGCTTGGGGTAGTGTCCTTGTGTGAATGACCTGTACAGTGAGAGCTGACTTCTTGCAAAAGGCCTTCGCACACTCAGGACATTCGGATGGCTTCTCCCCGTGTGTGTCTGCTGAGGGACTGGGAGGGCAGACTTCATACAGGATTGCCACACCACCCACGTTTGTATGCTTCTCCCCATGTGTGCCGCTCGCGGTTGATGAGGTTTGGCTTCACACAAAAGGTCTTCCCACATTCGTTACATTCCAAGAGGTTTTCCCTGAGTGAGTTCTCTGATGTACAGGGGGGTGTAACTTCATACAGAAAGACCTGTCAAATCGCCACATTTGTAGGGCTTCTCAGTGTGAGTTCACTGGCATATGGTTAGGTCTAGCTTGTAGCAGGACTTGGGGGTGTTCTCCCCAATGTGTGTTCTCTGGTGCTCAGTGAGTTGGGATTTCTGGAAGGTTTTTCCACACTCCTCACACAAGTAGGGCTTCTCCCTCATGTGTGTTCACTGGTGTTTTCTGAGGTGTGACTTCTGGAAGAAGCTTTTCCAACATTCTTTACACCTGTAGGGTTTCTACCTGTGTATTCTGGCGTTGACTGAGCACTGACATCATACAGAAGGACTCCC